TGTATGCATAGTTCGTGAATGTCAGTTCGTAAATGCCTAGTTCGTTAATGTCAGTTCGTAAATGCTAGTTCGTGAATGTCTAGTTCGTGAATGCCTTGTTCGTGAATGCCTAGTTATTAAATGCCATTTCGTGAATGCATTGTTCGTAAATGTCTAGTTCGTAAATGCCAGTTCGTGAATTCCAGTTCGTAAATGCCAGTTCATAAGTTCCAGTTCGTAAATGCCAGTTCATAAGTTCCAGTTCGTAAATGCCAGTTCGTGAGTGCATAGGTCGAAATGTCTAGATCGTAAATGCCAGTTCGTAAATGTCTAGTTCGTAAATGCCTATTCGTGAATGCATTGTTCGTAAATGTCTAGCTCATAAATGCCAGTTCGTAAATTCCAGTTCGTAAATTCCAGTTCGTAAATTCCAGTTCGTAAATGCCAGTTCATAAGTTCCAGTTCGTAAATGCCAGTTCGTGAGTGCATAGGTCGAAATGTCTAGTTCGTAAATGTCTAGTTCGTAAATGTCTAGTTCGTGAATGCCAGTTCGTAAATGCCTAGTTCGTAAATGCCTCTAGTTTGTAAATGCCCGTTCGTAAATGTCTAGTTCGTGAATGCATATAGTTCGTAAATGCCTCTAGTTAGTAAATGCCTAGTTCGTGAATGCCCATTTGTGAGTGCCTAGTTCGTGAATGCCTAGTTCGTGAATGCCTTGTTCGTGAATGCCTAGTTCGTGAATGCATCTAGTTCGTAAATGCCTCTAGTTAGTAAATGCCTAGTTCGTGAATGCCTAGTTCGTGAGTGCCTAGTTCGTGAATGCCTAGTTCGTGAATGCCTAGTTCGTGAATGCCTCTAGTTCGTGAATGCATCTAGTTCGTGAGTGCCTGGTTCAAAATGATGAAAATTCTATAAATCTAAAAAATCACACATTTATATTACACAAACTAGTTTTGCTATTGCGCAAATATTCATAAATAAAATCGTTTTAAAATATGAATTATTTTTACTTAGTTTCTGCAAAATCTGCGCCTTAGGGTGAAAATATATTGAAATTTTTACAGAGTCATGAAAGCTTTTAGATACTTTTCATTCAATACACCAGAGATCAGATTCTGTCAATCTTAAATGTTTTAAGACAGAAAACAGATATTTTTCTAGACAGGGGATAGGGAAGTTGGATGGTTGGATGGTTGGATAGTTGGATGGTTGGATGGTTGGATAGTTGGATAGTTGGATGACCCCCTCCCTCAACCTCCCCTAATATCTTCCAATAGTAAGAAGGAAAAGTCCCAAGAAAATAAAATTATTTTTAATGATTTAAAATTTGGCATTAATAATTATCAAAACCTCATAGAGTACACAAAGTAGGTGAGTTCCACATTTAAAAAAATATATATTTCGGACTGGGTTGAACCTCTTCAGCACGTTCTAACGATAGAATTACCATCAAAATCAACAATAATGAAAATGTTGATTATTGTTTTCTATGGTTTATAAATCGAAGCAAACCCTCGGAAAAGTTTTGTCTTACTGAAAAGCTAAAGCACATATAATAATTAGCTGAAGAGATATGATTTTATTTTATTTGGACCGATCTTAGAAACAGAAGAAAAAAGTCCGAAATCCGCTGAAGTTCTTTAAAATCGCCATTTAAGACACGGAATAAACATTAAACAAGCAACTTAAGATGACTGTGTCTTCCCAAATCTTAAAAAAATTATAAAAAAGCTTAAATTATTTGTTCTTGATGAATGAAAAAAGTAATAATAAAGAATTGTACAAAATTTTGTAATATTTTGTATGACATAAACAGTCTTGACTTATGAATTTTTTTAACCTACTAACGATTTTTTCCAAGTTATTTCTTGACTTTAGATCGTAACTTTTTTGGATGGTACACATGGGCAGCGCCAGTTATGAACTAATTTGAAGATTTTTTATTTTTATTTATTAGATTTTCCTAAATTAATGATGTGTTATCTTTTAATTCTATTTTGTTCAATTTCAAGTTGGAAATGATTAATTTTTAAATTATAAAAAATTATGATGAAATCATGCAGTATGGAAATTGTATTTTCGATTTTGAAAATACAAAATCTGGTGTAAAAATCTGCTTTAACTGTAATTATAATATGATGATGTAAATTTATAATTTCAATTTGATTTGTTATTACATTTTTGAAAGTACAATCTATTTTATAATTCAAAATGTACAAAAATTCTGGTAAAATATTGTAATGCTGATTTATAAAAACGCAAAATAAACCTGATCCAACTGAATTTAATTTACATAGAATGAATGCACGAAATGTACATATATAAATTGTATCGTGCATAAATAAATGCAATAAAACTTAAGAAACGTGAATACAGCAGTGATCCATTCTATAGTTTAAATATAGATTTTTGTTAAATGTTACATTAAAATATCAAATTATATGTTTCGAAGGTTGGGTAGAAATGAAATGATCATGAAAGATTTAATTTACTGTGGATTTATAAATAAACTGCAATATTTTTTTCTTGGCATAAGATAACGAAACTGAGAAGGGAACTATAGAATGGGATATCCTTAATCCCGATCGGTTAATTAATCTGGAGATTAATAACAAGAGGAGAACAAGCATATATTTGTTAATCTGGAGATTAAGAAAAAAAGGAGATCAAGCATTAATCCTGATATCCACCATTCTAAAGTTTCCAGCTCTGATTACATGCCTGAAACTCTAATTATAAAATCCCAATTTCTTTCAAACCTGATAATGAAAACCTTTGACTTTTCAAACTCTGACTATTTGATCTAACATATTTTTTAGTTAAAAAAGATATCAAAAGTCTACCATATCAGGTTTCAAAGATATCAGGATTAGACAATTAGAGTTTGAGGCGAGTAATCGCTCAGTTTTTCTTTGTTTTATTTGAATTTAGAGTGCATTGTTGTCAGGTAAGTGCAGCAGCTGCAGTAGGATTAAGTCAACCTAATAATTCAGTTTATTGACAATAGATCTATATAATGGCCAAGTTCGTAAATGCCTCTAGTTA